TTCAGTGGTACATTCTGTTGCATTGTCATTTATTTGCTTGTTTTTGGGGTTTTTTTTGTCTCTGCTTTGACTATCTGTGTTGCTGTGAATATGTGCAGATGGAAACCTTATCACTGCTGTCAGCCAGACAGCTTGCAGAGGTGTCCTCCACACCTGGACAGCTCACCTCTGCTGCCCAGGTTAACCAGCTAATGGCATATGTCCCCAACGATCGCCTCCCTGCCTTCTTTGATGACTTTACATCTGCTATTGCTGTGAGTGTGCATCATACTCACAAGCAGCCTGCAAATGTCAATGTTCAGATAATAACTTGCCTCTGATTGGTCCCTGGAAATGATGTTTAAGTCAGTATGTATCTGGTAAAACAATACTGTGTGCTTAGAAAATACCATAGGTCATACATTTCCTGGGATTGTAGTGGTGAGCAGTGAAATGAACTCCACACTTTCAGAAAAGGAAAATTTCACTTTTTGTCTGATTACTCTTCCTTCACAAAAGTAGAGCAACACACAGTTAAAGTGACACCATCCAAAAAGTTCCTCTTTGTTGTTGTTTTGCAGAAAAATGAACTATGCCTCTTTTAAGATTTTTTCTTTATCTTTCTGTCTGTAGTTGCCCTTCCTCATCTGTCTTTTGTCTTTACCTGCAGGGTCATGAAAACATGTATCCTACTCCGGTGAGGTCAGCCATGTTACAAGTTGTGTTCGATCGTGCAAATCTCTCCAGTAATGCAGTGAGTGATCAAGTTGTGTCAGTGTGGCTACAAAACCGCCTGCCCCCCCTGCTGGTCAACCTGTCATCAACCCAAGTTGCAGCGTTCTTCGGGATACTGGCGGGAAGGAGCTGCAGTATAGGGGAGCAGGGGTATGTGTAAAGCCACACGGACTGCAATAATAGTTTAACTTTACACAAATCTAATTTATTTTCAACAAACATAAATTGTAGCAAATAATCTCTAAATTTGCCTCAGTGGAATTCCATACATTGATCGCCTTTTAATTTTATTTAATTTTTTAAATTTCAGTGTAGGGGACCTGAATGCAACAATTTCATCTCTCAGTGATGATACCAAGAAAGAAATCTACAACAACATCATTCAGACTCTCAGAGGTAAAGGAAGTGCACTGAAAGTAAACTACAGTGTTCAGGCATATTACAAAATAATGCCAACTGACCTCTTTCGTTCTAGGACCAGTACCTCTTCGCTGCTACGATGGCTACTACAGCGGCAACTACAACGTCAGTTACTACAGTTTTCTGCAGCGTTCATTCATGGGATTCCAGTTCCCCATCTTGACCACCTTCCTGTCACTCATGCCTCAAGACAAAACATCTCAGGTGTGTCCAGAAATACAAAAGTGTGTAGAGAAATAATAAGTATCTGAAGAGTAAATACAAAGAGCTAGATGATGAAGAGGAATATCACTTACTTTGTTTGCTGTTCCTCTAGCTGTTGAACTCCATGCCTCCATCTGATCTTGGGGATTTCCTCCGTCGCCCAAATGCTGTCGACAGCGATGCACAACTCTGTGTGCTCTACAACAACTACAAGAAGACAGAGGCCTTCCTGGAGACCGTGAGTACCACAGACAGAAACACACAGAAATGCAAACATATTTGCTAAGTTTCCATCCAAATGTAGCTGAATATTTAACCAAATTTTGAGCTAATCAGGAAAAGTAAATCCGAAGTAGGGCACTTCCATCCACTTTTGGTATGTAAATGTAAAATATAGTTATATATAGAGTAAAGAGCCGGGTGGTGTTAATTTTCCGGCTGGGTACCTTTAAACCAGAAGACACAGTGAGAAGACGTCCAAAGTTAAACTGTGATGTAGAAAACATGGAAGAAATATAGCATCCTACTTGTTCATTTATTAATTTGAAGGAAGTGTCTTTATCTCTTCACACAAATCTGCTGCTGTTTTTCATCTCTTCCCTGGAGCAGAATTGTAGGAAGACTTAAAACACTAAGAGGTATTCACAATATAACAGAAAAACAAGGGTCTTTTGTCAGTACACCTACTTCTTCCACCTCAGCCAAAGATAAATTTCTTATTTTGAGATTTTTGTTTTCAAATTTTCAGTGTTTCCCTTCAGGTTTTTTTATATGCAAACGGAAAATGCACATATAAACAAATGGATGGAACCCCACCACTGTGGTGATATAACTACATCACTGTGTATTCACTACAGGAGCCTCTCCCGGTGGTGGTGAGGCAGGCCACACTGCCTTGTGTCTGGCCCATGGCTCTCAGCAGCACCAATAGGTCAGAGGTCAATGCTTGGTTTGACCGAGGCCTCCGCGACTACCTGGGGTTCCTCACAAAGAATGAGATCATCCCCAGTATCACAGGCAACGCCTCATGTCTGGCCTTCCAAAAGTTGTACGTATGCTCTGTAGAGCACTGCATGCTCATTATGTGAACAATCTGTTTTCTCTTAAATCATGTCAGCAGGTTTTTAAAGTTATTTGTTTAGACATAAATAAACAGAAAAATACTGAGCCATTTCTTTAGTACCTGTCCATCCATCTATCCGTTTTCTTCCGCTTATCCGAGATCAGGTCACAGTGTAGTCCAGACGTCCCTTTCCCCGGCAACAATTTTCCAGCTCCTCTGGCAGGATTGCAAGGTGTTCCCAGGCCAGATGAGATATATAATCTCTCCAGCATGTTCTAGGTCTACCACAGGGTCTCCTACAAGTTGGACATGCTTGGAAAACCTCCCAAGGGGGTGCCCTGGAGGCATCCTGATAAGATGCCCAAACCACCTCAACTGGCTCCTTTTGAGAAACGGTTCTACTCTGAGCCCCTTCCAAATGTCCAAACTCCACACCCTGTATAAGATAAGATAAGATAAGATAAGATAAGATAAGATAAGATAAGATAAGATAAGATAAGATAAGATAAGATAAGATAAGATAAGATAAGATAAGATAAGATAAGATAAGATAAGATAAGATAAGATAAGATAAGATAAGATAAGATAAGATAAGATAAGATAAGATAAGATAAGATAAGATAAGATAAGATAAGATAAGATAAGATAAGATAAGATAAGATAAGATAAGATAAGATAAGATAAGATAAGATAAGATAAGATAAGATAAGATAAGATAAGATAAGATAAGATAAGATAAGATAAGATAAGATAAGATAAGATAAGATAAGATAAGATAAGATAAGATAAGATAAGATAAGATAAGATAAGATAAGATAAGATAAGATAAGATAAGATAAGATAAGATAAGATAAGATAAGATAAGATAAGATAAGATAAGATAAGATAAGATAAGATAAGATAAGATAAGATAAGATAAGATAAGATAAGATAAGATAAGATAAGATAAGATAAGATAAGATAAGATAAGATAAGATAAGATAAGATAAGATAAGATAAGATAAGATAAGATAAGATAAGATAAGATAAGATAAGATAAGATAAGATAAGATAAGATAAGATAAGATAAGATAAGATAAGATAAGATAAGATAAGATAAGATAAGATAAGATAAGATAAGATAAGATAAGATAAGATAAGATAAGATAAGATAAGATAAGATAAGATAAGATAAGATAAGATAAGATAAGATAAGATAAGATAAGATAAGATAAGATAAGATAAGATAAGATAAGATAAGATAAGATAAGATAAGATAAGATAAGATAAGATAAGATAAGATAAGATAAGATAAGATAAGATAAGATAAGATAAGATAAGATAAGATAAGATAAGATAAGATAAGATAAGATAAGATAAGATAAGATAAGATAAGATAAGATAAGATAAGATAAGATAAGATAAGATAAGATAAGATAAGATAAGATAAGATAAGATAAGATAAGATAAGATAAGATAAGATAAGATAAGATAAGATAAGATAAGATAAGATAAGATAAGATAAGATAAGATAAGATAAGATAAGATAAGATAAGATAAGATAAGATAAGATAAGATAAGATAAGATAAGATAAGATAAGATAAGATAAGATAAGATAAGATAAGATAAGATAAGATAAGATAAGATAAGATAAGATAAGATAAGATAAGATAAGATAAGATAAGATAAGATAAGATAAGATAAGATAAGATAAGATAAGATAAGATAAGATAAGATAAGATAAGATAAGATAAGATAAGATAAGATAAGATAAGATAAGATAAGATAAGATAAGATAAGATAAGATAAGATAAGATAAGATAAGATAAGATAAGATAAGATAAGATAAGATAAGATAAGATAAGATAAGATAAGATAAGATAAGATAAGATAAGATAAGATAAGATAAGATAAGATAAGATAAGATAAGATAAGATAAGATAAGATAAGATAAGATAAGATAAGATAAGATAAGATAAGATAAGATAAGATAAGATAAGATAAGATAAGATAAGATAAGATAAGATAAGATAAGATAAGATAAGATAAGATAAGATAAGATAAGATAAGATAAGATAAGATAAGATAAGATAAGATAAGATAAGATAAGATAAGATAAGATAAGATAAGATAAGATAAGATAAGATAAGATAAGATAAGATAAGATAAGATAAGATAAGATAAGATAAGATAAGATAAGATAAGATAAGAACCCCAGAGGTGTTGCAGCAGCACAGATTAGGCATCAGTAGAGATAAATAAATACTTTTAAGTATATACAATGTTGATAAAATAGTCATTCAGTACAGCAAGATGTCCTTATTTTAGAAAGAATAGAATGAAAAATTCTTTTGTTCATCAGTCAGTATTGTTGTTAAATCAAAATCAGGGTGTGGCTGGATAAGCTCAGTATCCAGAGATCATGATAATTATGTAAATTGAGGTTGTAGAAGTGGTTTACTGTTCATATTGTATCATATCATACTTTGAACATGGATGTAAAATTTGAATTTTTATGATTTTTTTTTAAGACAGGTGAAAACAAATGTCTGGCAAGCCTAGTGGAGCAGAGGCTGGCTTGTAATATGGCAGGATATTGACTCTCTGTGTTATTTGTCCACCTTGCCCTCACTTGTAATAATCTGCATGTGTTTATGTCTTATTTGGGTTTGTTGAAGAAGATCTTTTTTTTTAAAAGTCTCCTTTTATGAAGACATTTTTAAATGTTTGAAGTGGCTTTTCACTATTCGCTCCTTCACATTTCTGCCAATGTAAAGTAGTAGCAGAGGGCTGTTTACAAGAATTATACGTGGTCCAAAAAGAGACTGAATCAGCCTCACTATGTCTAGATGTTGGTTTTATGGATCTCTCTGGATTTCATCAGCCTCCAGCCTCCACTGAAACATTGTAATCTGTCATTGTAGGGGCGGCAACAAGGTGTTACAACCCCAACGACGCAGACCTCAGCTCTACCGCCTGGTTTGTTGAGTACATCGGATCTTTCTTGTCTTTCCTCACTCTGGATGATCTTCAGACATTTGGATCATCACAGGTTCTGAACTAATTCCTTAACTATAGCTCCGATTTTGTTCACTGGGGTTGAAATAAGACAGTGGGTCAATGATGTAGACTCTCTTCTGAGTGTTTATATCTCCTCCCTCGTCTTTGCAGGTTCTCCAGGTGTTCACAGTGAACCCCCTCAACATTGCCCTCTTCAGCCAGTATGTCTCATCTCTCGACCTCATCAAGTACTACACTCAGCTTGTTTATCAACAGGACAGCAACTTCAATCCCTTACTGTGAGTCCAAACCTATAATACAATATTACCTTCCATCCACAAACCCTGATTTGTGCATGAATTAAAACCAGTCCCTCTCTCTCTGAAGTCTTCCTCCAGTGTATCGGTGTGGTGCTCCTGGTCCAGCATTTACCCAGATGAACGTAACACAAAGTACGATGGTTCTGAATGATCTGAACACGTTCTGTACCAACCTTGACCCACAGGTAAGAAACACATGCATTAGTGGTCCAATTTATACACTGGGGAAAGTGGAGTAACATTATGAAAGTAGATGCTTCCTTCCTGGTTTGATAAGCATGAAAATGATGTAACTCATATGTTAAGGCCTTTACAGCCACCAACCCAACAACCCAGCTGAGATTTTTGACATGCATGTTTCACAATTATCAAAATACCTTTCTCTTTTGGAAAAGTGATGTTTGTCACAGAGACCTGGGACATTTATGCTAAGATTTGATTTGTTTTGGCTGTTGTTGGTTTTGTAGCTGTAGACCAAAAGAATAACAGCAAATAATCAGCTGATCAGGTCACATCAGTGTCACGAACATTTGTACACATCATATTAAAATTTTAAGCTGATCAGCTTAGTAGTTCTGACCTTCAGCATTTGAACCAAGTAGCTTGTAATAAATTATTTAAATGTGTCAGTTGCATATTTTATCAAAATGTCTGTATAATTTGTTGATACTGGTAACTATGCTAGGCTCCCAATCAGACTGCACTGTTTCTGGCTTCTCAGCCAAGAAATGATAGATAATAGTTTTTGCTAATAATAAATTTTGTTACTTGTGAGTGTTGAAATTAGATTTAATTTGGCATTTGAATGGATTCAGACTCAATAAGCAGATTTAGTGCTGGGTATGGGTTCATTAAAATCCTCTTAAAAGCCAGGCCTACAGCTGGATAAGCCATAGGAGCCGTGGTATCAGGCAGTCAATCATAACGGTCATCTGAAATACACCCCTTTAAGGTCACTGAATAACATTAAAGACAATCATATCAGGAAAATGGCCACTTGTACACAAATGACCATGATAATATTTATCTAAAATGACACACAGCAAATCTCCTTTGGGGAAATATTATTTGATTTATGCTTTGAATTTTTAGTTTGGCTCATGCCCCATTTCCTAACATGAAGTGGGCGGGGTTTATGGCTTTTAATTAAACCAGCCACCACGGGGGGGTCGAACTGTGCTTCACATCTAGGCGCTATCACGGCTTTATATACAGTCCACGGTTTGGACTGACAAAGCAAAGCTAGGCATACCCGAAGGGGCTCAGTATAAATTTCAGCTTGTTTTAACCTGCTGGTGAACCTACTTGTTGTTAGGCAGTGGTGAGCAAGTTAATTGAAAACACATTACTCACTCAAAGTGGTTACTTTTAGGAACATATGAATACAATTTGCATAACTGATAAAGTTTTTTCTTTGGCTGTTGTAGATTTCTGCAGCTTTAGTGAGTAACTTTGGAACCCACATTGATGCAGCTGTCCTTGCTGCCCTCGGCAATCAAAGCACCGGCATGTCCATAGGCCAGATCAACAAACTAAATCCTGCGGACCTATATAGTACTCTCAACACCCTTAGCAATGTGCAGGGGTGGAGCGAAGGTCAGGCCAAGGCCGTTGTCCAGGCTCTGATTTCTTCAGGACTCATACAGGTAGCTGCTGTTTCTTACTCTGTGTTTCATTGAATTCAGATCCGTTGTGAAATGCTAAGGTTGTGCCTGTCAGCACAGAAGAAACTTATGTTAGTGGTCATGTTCTCATTTGTGTGCTGTTTCTCCCATCCACCTCTCACCAGATCAACAGCCAGTCGGATTTGGAGAAGCTGGGCTCTCTTGTTGTGGGTGTTCCTGCTTCAGTGATCCACGCCATCAGTGGTTCCCAGCTGATTAGTGCATCCAGAAACCCTACATTCCTGGAGAACTTGATGGCTTCTCCGGACATCATCCAGCAGACCTTTGTTACTCAGGTAAGACAGTTACACTTCTGCCACAGGATTTATAAAGCAGTTGCCTTTTAATCAATTAATTTTATTTATAGAAATGCTAATTCAAAACCTCAGATTTGACAAAACTCCACCTGCACCCATAGAACTATCTAATATGACATCACACACACCCTAGAGTGGATCATATTGTTTCTACTCCCAAATCCTGCACTGCTGGATGTGAGTGACAGCATTGCACATACTGACTTTACCTGCTGTCAATAATGCCTGTAAGCCAGTTTAGCCAGTTTAAGACATAGTGTGTTTACATGTGCAGTAATATCCTGGTTAAGCTCAGATGTTTGCAGTATTCGGCTTATTGAAACTTCAGGTTTCAGCACATTCTTTGTTGGTGGCTGAGATGGTACAAAATCAAAACACAACAGCACACAGATGATCAGACCAGGTTTCAAATATATAGGAATATAATCATAGTCAAATGGATAGCGCATTTTGCACACCAGTATTGAGTATTTCCTTCTCATGAATGCTGTGTGTCGTCGCTTTTCACACCATTTCTTTGCAAAACTTTGATGCTTTATAATGTCTGGATGTAAAAGAGATGGTCCACATCTTTAATGAACAGGTCCTAGAAACGCTCTGATTTTTACAGTCAATTTGTGTAAAAAGTAAGGAGTTTAACAAAGTGACGTAACCATCTTCTTGCTTCTTTTCACAGATCATATCAGTGAACAGCAGCAGTGAGGCGATCATACAGAACGTTCCAGATCAATTTGCCACTCAGATCCCTCCATATCGGTTGGTGGGCTTCTCAAATAATGCCGACATTATCAGAACACTCAACAAGAAGACTTGGAAGGCGCAACAAGTAGGTGAAATACACATTTTTGTACTCAGCACACCTGCTGTACAGTATAACATTACACTCTGTTTCTCATTAGGCTGAGTTATTCTTCAACATAATAGCAGATGAAAGTGCAACCGCAGTGCTTGGTGGTCCAAACAAGTGAGTTTTTAGTAACAGAAGAGTTCACACAAAATACCCAATTAGAAAATGTTTTGCAATTGGATTTCAATGCATACATAACATTCTGTGTGCGTCTAGTGTGTCGTCCTCTGTGCTGCAAGGCTTCACCTGCACTGGAGTGAGGAATGTTAACCCAGCACAGGTCGAGAAGCTGATCAAAGCCTGTCGGAGGACAGGCAAGAATAGGGTGCCACTGGAGGAGGCTCAGGTGAGAGACCGGGGGAAGGTGTGTGCGTGTGTGTGTGTGTGAAGCAAAGAGAGAGAACAAAGTGTCTCCCTAACAGGTCACAAGATGCCTTGACATCAAAGATTAAAACAAGGATAAATATGGTTGAAAAGTTTGGGGGGTTTTGGACATCTAGGATATATAAAACCATTGTTGTCATGCAAAAAAGCTTATATTTGATTGTGAAGTAGGCCACTACAAGTCATAAAACATTTATTGCAGCGCTTTCTAAACACAGCATCTATGTTATATGTGAGATACACACTTATAAATATGTTAACATTTTAGCCAGATTAGCCCAGTTTTTAATCTTTTACACCTGCAAACCACCAAGTCACAGCTTTGTGCAACAATAAAGGACAGATTCAGTTTTGCTTGTCTCACCCACAGCTGACCTGCATGTACAACTACGTCAAAGGAGAGTCGGATGCCAACAGCTTCAGCCTCTTTCCTCCTGATGTGCTGATGTATTATGAGTGAGTTGAGGTTTATTTGTGTCGGACTAAAGCTGAAAACCAGTTTTGTTCCAATAACACTAAAGAATGGTTTGTGCTAGCTCCTGTTCCTCTTTCTCTCTACAGTTACTCTGTGGTGCCACAGGACAACTGCAGGGACTATTTTACACAGATGGCAGGTGGAAATTTTTTCGTCTTCTCTTCAGTCCTCAGCTACTTAAAGACGAACCTGTTTGCTAATGCCAGAAACTGCCTGGTGAGTTCCTGAAAAACTAGCACTGCATTACAGCGCAGATGGCCAATAAAATAAAAAAAATAAAATAAAATAAAACCAAATTGATTAACACATTTTTCAGGATCATTGCAATGAAGACCAAAGACCACCAGCAAGTATCAACAAGGATCAATCAGTTCAATTATTTTGATAACGTCAGCATCCGAGACGGTTTTTGCATGTATAAAGAAAGTGCACTGGGGATCATTTTACTGATCATTGATGTTAACTCCACTGGTTTAATCCTGTTGTGAGCTTTTTGTCCTCTAATCCAATATTTTATTTAACTGAAAGTAGTTTTAAATTGGACCAGGACGCCATTCTCCAGAATGCAAAATCAAAATGTGCTTCCAAAAGCCACTTTTAAAGACAAGGATTGTTGATTACCTTCTCTTAATATGTGTGATAAAGCCTTCCTCCTGGTTTCAGTGGTCCCCTGATTATAAAACTATGAAAAATAAAGGTCAGAGTGTACAGTGCAATGTAAAAGCACTGTAAATATAAATCGATTTCAGTTCAGGTGTGTAATACTTCTGTTCTCTTAATATTTGAATTTGTAATTAATTTCAGTTTTTACTCTTTTACTTTTTATTCTCTAAGGAAATAACAAACACAGTTTTGACTAAGGATAATATAATAGTGTTGGGAAACATGTGTTGCACTTTGGATGGGCCCTACATCACGAACTCTGACCCATACATCTTGGAACAAATGAAGAACTGCCCAGACCTCACTCCCACTCAATCAGCTGCTGTTCAAACAATCCTGCTGAGCGGGACAAGTCAGTATGGGTACGTCAACAGCAGCAATACAACGCTCTACTTTGAGTTTTTAAAATATCATAAAAGCTGTGCGTCCTTGTCACCGCAGCCTTTGGTGTCTATCATCTTCTGTTTCTCTCCAACAAAGATCAAAATGTTACAGTAATGTAATGACCAGTTAAAACATGGGGGGTTGTTTCTATTTACATTGTTTTTCACTAACCAGAGCTACATCGACATGGAATGACCAAACTCTGATGAACCTTGAGATTTTACCACTGCATATGAACTCAGACTTCTTTAATATCTTTGACAAAGTGAGTAACACGTTAATGCACGCTTGTCTTCATTTAGTGGATGAGGTGCCATTATCTGTTTGCTGTTGGACTGAGATTGGTTGTGTTTGTTTTCTGAAACATCATGTATCCGTTGTAATCCTGTGAGCAGGTAACCACCAAGAAATACTTTAAGGGCTTCCTGCCTTCTCTTAAGAGAAAAGGAGTGGGTCTGCAGAAGATGAGAAGGCTGAAAGAACAAATAAGACTGCACAGTAGTAGCAAGAGGTCAAAGCGAGCAGCAGGTCAGTGTCTCTTCGTTATCTGCTCTGTGGATTTGTACTTAATCAGTTTACCATGTTAATGATTCTTTCCTGCGTTTCAGTCAATGAATGCACTGTAGGAATTATCACAGCGGTGACCATCAGCGATGAGACGTTTCCCTATTATGACTATTCTGACATAAACCAGTTCGACTCTTGCCTCAGTGCTGCAATTGTTAAAGACAACTTGGATGTCATCACTAGTAAGGTGGACACTGTGGACTATCTCAGGATTGTTCTCAACAAGCTGAATGAGGTAGGTGACCGCACTCTGTGAAGAGGTGATCGCAGGATTTCCGCAGTGATGCTGAGTAATATTTCTTAAGCATTTAATGTGATTTTATATGCACATATTCATCGTGGTTATGGGCCTCTGTATGAAGTGTTAATATCTCAGAGTTTCTTTTCGAGACCTGCAGATACCCTGCGATTGGTTTGTTAATGCCTTTTTAAACTGGAGGTTCAGGCTTGTTGCAGTGGTGCCAGTTGAGCCAGTTTATTAACAGAGCAAAACAACAAACAATTTGTTTAGAATTAAAACTGATAATAAAAATCAATCAAGCCATAGTGTGACCAGAGCCAAAACTGATTTTAAATAATAAAGATGAGTTGGCTAATATATTGTACAGGACTGTGGATTCAGGTGTTTTTCCTTCTTACTGATTACTCTCATGTTCACAGGCCTACCCCAGCTCTGTCCCAGAAGATCAGGTTCAGCTCTTAGGCCCAGCGTCTCGTGTCGCCACCACTGACGACATCAACAAGTGGAACATCACTCAGATCGACACACTCTCTGCACTGATGGATTCATCCAACGGACCGTGGGACCCTAGCTTGGTGAGGGAGCAAGTAACGTGCTGTGTATGTGTGCATGCAGTCAGTATGCGCTTGTGTGTTCTCGTGAATCCATCTTTCTTCTCACCCAGGCAAAGGCCATCATCACTAAGTATCTGAGTAAGGCAGAGAACAAACTCGGCAGTGCGGAGCTTAACGTCATCGGAGGAGTCAACCTCTGCTCCCTGGACATTGATGTTTTGAAGAGCATTTCCACACAAAGCATCAAGTAAGAAGTCAGGGCTCTGTGTATGTTTGGAGGATCGTTACACTAGTGTCATGAAATCTGAATCCAAATAGTGATTACCGTTGTTGCCAGGTCAACTGGCTGTTCAAATAAGGCAAGGGCAGAAGTGAAGTTTAGTCAGGGAAAAAAATAATCTCTGAATCTTTGTAGATGCCTATTCTTGTGTTTGTTTTATCAATCTAGAAAGTAACAAATTATGATGAAATCAGTTAATATACTTTTATAATAATGGTACTACAACAAAACATTAGAAGCTTTTTAACCACAATAATTGTTCTGTATGTTTTTTTATGGAACACACAAACAAATATGGTCAATAATATCATTTCATTTATCATTTTAGCTTAAAAAGAAGGATGCAAACTTTAGGACACATGTTTGGACCATGTTCTTTAACAATTTTATTGATTCCTGCCCATTCGGTGTCAATCCAGGAGAGTATTTACTGTGGATTATCGGGCAAAAAACCACATTTGGTAACATCTGTAAGCATCATAAATGGCTATGAATATTTGTAGAAAATAAAAAATACATTTTTTTTTTTGAATATCCAAGTATTTCAATGAGTGCCCTATAAAGGGTTAAATTAAATTGTCTGTAGGTTGTGTTGTGAAGGTAGGGGAGCCTGTATGAACAAAAATGTGGGCCAAAAAAAAGCACATAAATCATCTGTTTGTGCCGGTAAAGCTAGTTTTTAACCCACAGCACTGACTTAAGGCGACTCAGATACATTTATCTCCAATTTGATCAAACCCCTTTCTCATCTGCATTTTGTCTGGATGGTCAGAGAACAGCATTTAAAACTGAAACTGCTGAAAAGGGTGGACAAAAGTTGGATCTTAACTTAAAGGGCTTAAAAATATAAAGCTTTGTTCAATGTAAAATATATGCCAAGAAACAAAAAAGTTGTTTGAATATTAGGAAAAATGTGTTGTTTGAAAAAATGTATAAAAGAATCCTGAATCATGGCACATTACCAGTGTCAGTTATTGACTGAGCTGAGCAGTATCACAGTAATCACACAACTCTAACTTCACTATGTAGTTTTTAAATATGTCTAATCACGTTGGCAACATTTCTTCCTGAATCAGGGAAAATGTAGCACGGATGATCTGGCACATGTGAATATAATTGTCATTATGTTACTTAAAATGTATTCAACATTTAAGGGAACTTTGATTCCAGTGTGTGAGTACTTGTCCAGTTGTTATT